GAGATTTTAGCTCTGAGCTCTGACTTCTCGGCTTTCTCTTTTACATTGTTTCTGTGTTTCTTATTTAATAAGACGGTTGGTTACATCTACAGAAATACCCAAGTAACTCATGAAATTAACTGTGGTAGAAATCTACCACAGAAAGGGTTGCTGGTGATGTATTTAGTATGCCAGACACCAACAAAGACCTTGAGAACACAGAGGGCAGTGTACGGAGCACACAAGCTAACACACTGAAAAGCTGTAAATGTGAAAGCAACAGCAACATGCTGGCTTCTATTTTGGGGGAATCTCTTTACAGTACCATCCCTGAAAAGGCAGCAGGGTGTTAAATCTGGTTCAGTCATGCAATTTTGTCTTTTAACCTCAACAAACGTCAAGTGCATCATAAGCTTCTTCATTTCATATCTACTATGCTGTTCAAGAATAAAACAACAAGAGATCTAATTCTAAATTCTGATTTGTGCAGAAAAATGCAACTTTCAGTCAGTGTTGATTTAGCTATAAAGTGCCCCCAACGTACTCTCAGGTTTTTTTTTTTTTTTTTTTTTTTGATTTTTCGAGACAGAGTTTCTCTGTGTAGCTTTGCGCCTTTCCTAGAACTCGCTTTGGAGACCAGGCTAGCCTCGAATTCACAGAGATCTGCCTGCCTCTGCCTCCCGAGTGCTGGGATTAAAGGCGTTCGCCACCACCGCCCGGCACTCTCAGGTTTTTAAAACTAGGAATTAAACTAATGTTACATGAGGAATAACCAAACTATAAGTAAATAGGTAAATGCTTTTAACTCAGTAAGTGTAGTTGACTGTTTAAATTACTGGGACATACCTGTGTGTTCCAGATGTGCACACACTTGTCAAAAGAACCGCTTGCCAGATATCTGCCATCAGGACTGAAAGCCACACTGTACACGGGCTCTTGGTGTTTTGTCAAAGTATGGATGCAAATCCCTCGGTCTACATCCCATAACCTAACTGTAGAATCAAAGGATGCACTGAAAATGGAAGGGGAAAAATTTTATAAGTAATCAAATATTCTCTTGGCCTTGTCCGCAGCCTCCCACATTCTGCCAATCCTTAAAGGCTAGCAGATTACACTGTTAAAATCCCAGTACTGTAAAAACTGGAAGGGAAACAGGAAAAAGCTGAAGCCCTGGCTCCTGCCCACTCACTATCCTCCCAATGGTCCTGGTTTTCGGTCCATGGTTCTGAGTATTAAACTGACTGTTATTTGGGGATTTATCTCTCTTTAAAAAAAAGCTGTGGACGCAACAGTTTTATTATTTTATGCCCCAATGATCTGTATGTTCTGCTGAAATAGGGTCACTATAGAGCCCAAGTTAATTACTATGTTAGGCACACTGGCCTAAGCGCCGGATTATAAATACAAGCCAAGCCTAATTATTGGGTTTTATTCAACAGATTAATTTTTTTTTTTTAAAAAAAGCCATTAAGCCCTGAAATACTAATGTTAAAAATACCATGGCTAAAGGTTCCCATTGAGATATATTCCCCACAAGACGTGCTCCCTGTTTTCTGCCATATTTTCCCAGTTTTTATTCGTGAGAGACTCAATAAGAAAAGTGAAACAGACACATCACCTTGCTAGCATAAGGTTGGCATTTGGATTATTTGTCCCTGGTCCTGTTGGACTCCATTTAATAGTATAAATTTCTTTATTATGTGCTTGCAAATCATGGACACAGTTATCTTGCTTCATACTCCAAATCTACCAAAAGAAAAAACTTGGTGATTTTTCTATACAACAGATACATTTAAAAGTGCTATCTTTTCTGTACAAAATGAGTCACGTAACTAAACATCAGAGGAAGGACCACAAAAAAAATTTTAAAGGTAGTTGAATGTATTTAACATTATTCCATAAAAATGTATTAAATTCTTCAAATACTCCTTATTGCAAAACTTGAAGGCTGAATTAATTAACTCTAATTGTTCTAAGATTGTTTTGAATAGCCGTAAATTGCACAAACCTTAACATTTAGAAAGTCCTTGGACTAGGGCTACATAGTAATTCAGTGGTAGAGCACTTGTGTGAGCAGCTGAGCATCGTGTGAGGCTCTGGGTTCAGTGTACATTCTCTTTTTCTCTTTTTCTCTCTCTCTCTCTTCTCTCTCTTTTCTCTCTCTCTTCTCTCTCTCTCTCTCTCTCTCTCTCTCTCTCTCTCTCTCTCTCTCTCTCTCTCTCTCTCTCAATGCTGTAAACAGCTAAGAGAACAATACCACAGTGCTTTGTAACTTAGTTATACACAGTCATAGGAAATGAATCTGACCACACATTTCTACAACTTTTTCTTTGGTCTTTTCAACAGCACAGGCAAGCCTGACATACCTCTTCCAATCTTCTTTACATTCTCTATCTACTTTGGTCATTTTCTTGATCTAGAACTCTGTTCCTGAGGTTTATCATCCTGCTGTTCATAACACACCACCCATTCTACTTCTGCTTTGGAATCTTCTGTGACTTCAAATTCTTTGTAAGGTTAAGAAAAGCTCCAATTTAGAGCCTGAGGTGTCTAATTCCAGGCTGTTCAGCTTGAAGCTCACTCAATCCATGACACAAGCTTCTCTGGATACTGGCCTCCTTCCACAGTACAAGCTTTAATGTGGGGTTGGGGATTTAGCTCAGTGGTAGAGCGCTTGCCTAGTAAGCGCAAGGCCTTGGGCTCGGTCCTCAGCTTGGGGGGCGGAGGGGGAGGGGGAGACGACAAAATAATAAGCTTTAATGCATGTGCATAAGAAGAAAACCCAAAGACAAGACAATTAAGCTAGTGTAGTGGTATAGGCCTATACCCAGTGCTTGGTAGGATGTGAAGGACCTGAAATTCAAGACCAGCATAGGCTACATAGTGAGATTCTGACTCAAAAATACAAAGGAGAAAGATGCAGCTCAGCATTGGCATGCTTTCTTAGCACATCCAAGTCTTCCATTTGATTCTCAGGGTGAAGGTAGGGAAAGGAACACCTAGTTTGTACACAGTAAAAGTGATTTTTCCCTGCATGACTATCCTACTTTTTTTTTTTTTTTTGGTTTTTTCCGAGACAGGGTTTCTCT